ATAAAAGCAATGGTCTATTCAAGCTTACATTTGTCAAAGTTTAGCATACACTGGATCAGTGAATCACAAGACATCTTTTCTTTAAAACACTCATCTGTCTCTCTTTCTTTGTTTTTATTAGCTCTTCCTTGCAGCTGAGTTAAAGTAATATCCATCTGGAACAGGTAGAAAGCTATACCAGCATAAAACTTGTTGCCTTCACTGGTGATCCCTATCCTCCCCCAGACACAATGTCAGCAATGGTGCTGTCCTTGATTACAGTTTACAGGGAATGACAAAGCCAGGGACTGGTGCATTTCCCACCCCTTCCATCAAACATCACCGGCAGGAAAGCATCCACTAATCATTCTCGTTAATGTGGAATGGATCTGAGGCTTGGGGAGAAGGCAAATTTTGACATAAGCCTAGACTGGTGGGTTTAACTCCCTGTTAGAATGTGCTCTGTTTTTGCTCAAATGTTTTACGCAGGTTCATTCAAAGGGAGCCTGGCTGTCAGCTGATATCAGCTGATAGTCAAGATCCTTTTGGACACACGTTTAGCACTATTCCAGAAGAGCACTAAAATCTTGTCCAAAAGCAGTCTGAACAACATCTGACACCTGGCAGGGAGGGTTGCACCATGCTGCCATTGCAGATCAGCTACTGTTTAAGGTGTCCCAAGCTCCAGGTTAGAAATAATTTCAGAGACCTAATAAGTACGAGGAAGCTGCACTTTCTGCTGCCTGAGCACAATGACACAGGAAGACAGTGCATATGGAACAGAGGGATGAGGTCCTAAAGTGTCCAATAGGTGTTGAATTTATTACATCTCTTAGGAGTCACCTGACTGAACCAGCTACAAAAAGGTTCTTAAAAGTGTCAGAATGTATCCACAGTGAAGTCTGTGTCACAGTAATACAACTGACACCATTTCAGCTAAGGATGATTTAAAACTCACTCAGTCAAGGGCTGGAGATCAGATGAAGGCAACATCATGAAGACACAACAGAAAAAAATGTTGCTGGGGAATATTTGTGCCACAATTAGATGCAAATGAGGTCTCAGTCCCACTCCCTTTCCCCCACCAATTATTAAATGTTTGATGCACATAGCTTCAAGATGGTTTGAAAGGATCCTAAAAACTGGTGGGGCCTGTATCTCTATTGCACATGTATTACATTAAGAAATTGCCAGGTTCAACCTCTGCCATTTCTAGTCAAAAGATTGCAGAAGACCAAAAAAAGTCTTGTCTAACTTCTTGCGTGGCAATGACTAGAGAAGCCAAAATTAAGCTCATATGTAAGATACCTTTCTAGGGAATAATACTAAAACTATTATTTCTGTAAAGGTATATTGAGTGCTCTATTTCTGTTGGTTTTGGTTCTTTCAGAGAAACATGATCTAGGAAATATTATTCTCAGTGGAACTTTCTCTGGTAAATGCCGGAAGTGTAGCTCTTGTAGAGACATACTAGAAGGCTTTTCTGAACATTCTTAGCATTTTCCAGAAGTAGAGTTCTGATAAATATTAGATCATAGCAGCACTATAGGGAAACTCAGGGCAGGAAATTATCCTTTCTTGCTTCATCAGTATATCTGAAGTGAAAGGCTGTGTATATAAGTAAACAATATATATTTCTGCTCTGCAAAGATCATGAACTCCTTCCATCTCTGTCATCCATTCTTGCATATAATTACACCACTAATATTCACTCATCCCTCCTGCTTATTTCCAAGAAATTGTTCTTACGATTCACAATATCATGTTTCCCACAAAGGATTCCACTTCAGAGGAAGATCTGGAATTCCACTGGTTCAACCAAGTTAATCTTGATCCCTCAGGAGAGACATTGCTAGAACTACCTTTTGAAATGCACTGGAGAGATCCTCAGGAAGGGAACCCAGACCCCAATTTTCAAGTTTTCCTTCCCTTGTTCTGAGATGAAAACTGAAGCATAACCAGTGCTAAAGAATTCAGGTATTGAAGAGGGTAGGCTCAGTTATCTGCTAAGTCAAGGAAAGAGCTGATATGGTTCTATTTGAAGCAGGACATCCAATGGCATGTTTAGCAACCTTTTTAACTTAGTCTTTATTCATACATCCTGAGGTAAGTCAACTTGGGACAGTGGTCTGGTTTCCTCATAGTGCTATTGTATAACAAAATATTATACAAAATTATGATTTATTCAATATATTACTAAATAAATCAATATATTTATTCAATCATTTATGGTTCAATAAACTGTAGGCTAGCACAATTTGTGATTCCTCCAAGGTCTTTAACCCTAGCATGATAGAGAATGATATCCACAATGTATTGCAAATTAATTTCTATCTAGTATTTTGTTAGTCAGAGATTCCTCACAAACAATTTATAACTGATTTTTACCAAAGTGCAAGGTTTTTATATTTTAGTCCTATTTATTTCTTCCATTTCCTCATGCAGCTGCAATAATTCTGAATGGTTATTTCGCCTTCAAAAGTTCAGCAATTCCTCCATACTTGGTGTGAACTATATGTTTTTACTGGTGTTGTCTATATTCTGTTATTGAGATTGGGAGAAGTTACTATTTTATCTATACAAGAAAAGTTCCTCCTACGTATTCTGGATTCAGACCAGGAGATGAGTTACTAATCCAATGATTAAACTATAAAATAACCTGCCTCAGTTCAACTGAGATCATATCAGTAACGTTTTTCTTTCTAATCATGTGTAATTCTGCTTTTTGCAATAAAATGTTCTGTCCTGAAGACAATAAAGCATTACTCTTGATTTGTTAAATGAAGTAAATCTTCCTTCCAACTTATTGTTTCTACTTAGTGTTCTTACAATATCGTTGACATCTAACATCAAGATACACAGTATCATGGCTTTACCTGGATAGAATGCTTCAGAAAATGAATAGGAACTATACATTTCCTTGATGTATCATGTTTATGAGATAAACTGAATGGACTAGCTTAGAGACCACCTAGATGCCATGTCAACAGGTACAACAAACAATATTTCGCATACCACCCTTCATATGTTCAACTGGCTGGAGATCATTGTAAATGAACAAGACCGAAAGTAGTGTATACTATCTTTTTGGCTGTCCTAGACAAGGATTGAAAGACAGAGAGAAGCTGGCATGGCAAGTAACAGGGGATGGCAAAGGACACAAATGCGATAAAAGTCTCCACAGCAGCCTAAAATGAATCCACAGAGGCATTTCTGAAATAAAGACAATTTTGTGAACAAAACACAGATTTTTAGGCAACATTATACACAGTCATTTGCTCCTCCCAGAAGCTTCTGTAATCTTATCACTGCAAATTCATTCAGGTTGTTCCCTTTTCATAAATATGTTCTTATTCAGAGCGTTGACTCTTATAGAGTCGATATAACTTACATTCAAATTCAATTCAGTGAGAATCTCCCAGAGAACTAGGCCCACTAGACTATATGACTGGAAGTCATTTCCATTTTTGCCTCTTCAATAATAGGTAATATTTCAGAAGATAAAATTTTTAAATTGTTTGCTTGCCTAATCATGTCTACATGCAACCATCTCAGTGACCTCAGATCTTACTTATTTCCTTAAATAAGAGATGCAGGATTTGGATCTGACTGGACATCACATCCTTTCACCTGCCCCTTAAAATGCTAGGGTCATCAGTTTTGTGTACTTTATGTATCATATCTTCTGAAGCTGAATGGAAACACACAACTATGTGAACACATACATTTAAGAAAGTTTTTGTTTGGGTCTGTTTTACCTAATATTTAACAGTATGTCTGATGTGCCTCTGAAGCCATCCCCTGATATACCTCTGTGGGCAATTCCAGACAGAACAGTAGATCCATTAACAATGCAGAATGATGCTCCCTCCTGAATTCCCATTCTTGCTGGGTACAGTATACTTCACTTTAATTCTTTCTTGAATGGATGGAATACACTTGAATTGTCTTTTGTGCAACCTATTCATAATTTAAAATATTCCCAAACCTTCTCAAAGAAAGTCATACCCATTACAATTTTAGTACTTACATGATGAAGTAAGACCAAATCCATAAACAATCATCTCTATCTATTGTTTTTGAATGATAGCAGAACCTTGCTAATTTATATGAAGCATTTGGCAACAGAATTTTTATATCTAATTTGTTCCCAATTATTAAATGCACAAACAATTGTTCAAAAACTGTTTAAAAGCTACTGCATTGCCATATAATTTTATTTCTTCATTTAATTATAATAATTCATAATATACTTGAATAATAGATACAGGCATTTAGGATAAATTGCACAGTTTATTTGTTTATATCTGATTCTTAAGGAACTCCCTTTTGTAGTTATTCCTCTTTGTGACTGGCTTCATAATCAAGCCTTAAATACTGTTCAATAAAATTATATCCCACATTTGAGCTACAGTGCAAAAGCCACTGGTATATAATCAGTTTTTATACACAGTCACACAATGGCCATTGCTCTTTCCCATGAGACTTTAGAAATCTGGTATTCTAGCATTCATTATGGCCCCTAATTACAAGAGAAGCAACACTGATACATAACATTTAACAAAAATAATCTGAGACCATTTAACATGGAGACATTATGGTCCTCGGAATGTACTTAAATCTATTTCAACCCAAACAATTAACAAAGTAAGTGAACAATCTTTAGAGGTGATTGCTGTCAACCAGCCTTGCTACTAACATAATATGATGTAATATTGATATGATTTGCAAAGTTGTTGTTGCTTTTTTTTTTTGCTAATCTCAGCAGTCGAGTAGCGTGAACAAATATCAGTAAAGCACAAGTTAGGGAGCTTTTGCTCTTTTGCAAGTACATAAGAGGGCAGAGTGGATGTAAAGTCGCTATGCAAAACCAAGCTGCATTTGTACAGAGGAGCTAGACAACAAAGGAAGTAACTTCATCCAAGTATAAATGAGTAAGCATCTAACTGTTAAAAAAAAAATCAGGAGAACAATCTGCAGTTTTAGTAAAGATCAGCCCCCCCCCCACCCACCCACCCAGCAACTACCCATATGCCCAGTTCATAGTAGTGACATATGTGAGAATTGGACCAATAATGGGTAAAAGTTCCATTATTGTGGGAAGAGAGACTGGCCATGCTTACTCCCATACTAACATTGATCCCGCAGCTGCAAATGATCAGGCATGTGAATGGGCCGGAAAGCAATAGAAATTCAAGTACTCTGCATGCATGATCTGCAGAGATTGTAAGAATGGAGGCAGCATATGTATTATTTAATTAAGAGCTGTAAGAATTCACCTGCAGAAAATAAAGCTGAATGCAATTTTTGAGTACAAGAGTCAAACCTCTGTGAAGAGGTTGGTGCATTATTACTAAACTTGACTTTCCTACCTTTTTTCTTTTCACCCTTTTCTTTATTTCCCACCCATACTCTAGAACGTAGTATATATTCAGGGCTTCTAAGCATTTTGAAATTGACAATCAAAATCTGTCATCCTGCAGGCAATAAATTTCCATTGACGATCTCTGCAAAGGAAGAGAAATAGGAAACAAGGTTTAATACATTGTATAAATGATGACAGGTACCAAACATGTTAAGATTTTGATTTAGATTTAGTTACATTATGTTCTTATGAGCTATGGTTTACTAGCAAAAGAAAAAAAACCCCATCAATAAATATTTATTCCTTCTTTCCTTCAGCAAGGACTCTAGTGTGCTCATGATTTTGAAATATTTGGGCCTTGAGCTCAAACAAAATTGGAAATTTGATTTAAAATGACTATTAACGATACCTTATCTTCTTGTTTTGGATTGTCTCATAAGGTTTTTCCAAAATGCAGTTTTATCCAGGAGAAATGCTCCTTGGAAACAAACTAAAGCAGATGTATTGCATTGCAAAAAGGGGAGAAAATAACTTTCCATAATCAAAAATGAGCAGATGAGAGGCTATATTTTTTAGCTCAGATGTAATGATTAAGTGGGAGCCAGTTTGGTGTGATGATTAAAGGCACCAGGCTTGAAACTGGGAGGCCATGAGTTCCAATTCTGCCTTAGGCACAAAGTTAGCTGAGTGACCTTGGGCCAGTCACTCTCTCTCTGCCCTAAGAAGCAGGCAATGGCAAACCACTTCTGAAAATCTTGCCAAGAAAACTTGTCCAGGCAGTTGCCAGGTGCCAATAGTCACTTGAAGGCACACAAAAAAGAAAGATTTACTACAGTATTGATTGTCCATTGATCTGAATTGCATTTTATCTCAAGAATGATAAGACTTCTCTGAAAACCTATAATTTGCTTGATAGTGCTTCCTTTTACTCTCAGATCTAAAGTATGGTCAGAGATTGACCCCATCATAGATTGATTCTTTCTTTTGTTATATTAATTCACTAAATATGCAAAGTTATCCTCTCTAAAACGTGACAGCAAAGTATCAGAAATTCAGTTGCAGTTTCTTGTGGCCCTGCAACTTCAAAATATTATTTTAAATTGCCTCAGTTTTTAAAGAATCTTCCTTCAATTACACATCTGCCTCAGCAAAAGGTACAGAAGCCAGTTCAGCCAAATAAGTAGGATAGTTCTAAAAATATTGAAATTAATAGCTTGAATTACTCTACAATATCAATATCAGGATTTAATATATAATAAAATCTCTTCCTATTAATGTCCATTGCTAATCTCTTTCTATACTTAAGCTACTTGCTTTAGAATTACCATTACTGGAGTGGGTCTATTAAGATAAAGTTGTGGGGTACAAAACGTGTGATACCAGTCTGGCTGGTGGTGGGAAGTTAATTGTCATTCTGTCTCTCAGAACAGTGTGTGTGCTTTCCATGATGTCCACTGCATCCACCACCCCTAGGCAACTGTTTTACCTTCACATATTTGTTGTTTAAATATTTCACAGTATAATCATCCATTGCTTAGTATTACGGGAAATCAGTTTTTAAAGAATCTTTCAACAGCATTTCTGAACCTGACCTTTCTACACCAGAGAAAGTTGTGGCTGCTCCGCGGATATAATGATCATAGGTGTACATCATCATGTCCATGTCTTCTCCATAATGTTCTGGATGTTCTGATGTCATCCTTAAAAGCCAAGAAAAAGAAAACAAGAATCATTTCTCTATTTTCTACAGAAAAAGTAGAGGAGTATCAGTGTACTTTTCAGATGTTGTGACTTTTGCTCTTAACAGCCCACTGAGAAACCCACTTATACTTGAGACTCAATTCAGATTGTTAAGCACCTGCTTGATGAAATCTCAGAAGCCTGAATAATGACTAACTAGTCTTCAACTAGTAGGACTAGAGTTTTTTTTTTTAATTCAAATTTGTTTATTACAGCCCTAAGGCCAGATACAAACAAAATATATAGTGGTAACAATCTTACATTTTCTTACATACTTTTTTTAAAAAAGAAACTTGGAATATTTTAAATATTCTAATTACAGAATGTAACATTCCTTGTTCAGAATACTAATTCTTTTTTAAAGTATGAAATAATGCTTCCCCAAAGAAAAAGCCAGTGGATCCTAGGAATCCATTCTTCTCCTATTGATACTAATTCCTGTGGATCCAGGAATGGAGATAGAAAAGATATGAGTTTTATCAGTTTAATTTTCTGTTATGTCACTTTTAAAATGTGATCTTTAAAGTGATATTTTAAGGTGTGACATGACTACAACTAGTCATAGCCAGCCAGAGGAACAATGTTCTCAACAGTGAGTAATGTGGAGAGTTTTGCCACTAAAACTGGAATGAGGAGACAGTGCTATATTTTTAAGTCCTCAATAATGGGACAAAATATATAGCATACTATTCAAAGCCAGTTAAAAAACAACAACATATGAATACAGATGACTATCTTGATCACTGGGACAAAATTCACATGTCAATCCACTATAGGCTTGTTCTTTTTCCCTTATATGTGAGTCAGACCTCGGAATGAGTTGGGCTTGAGGCAGTTGTTTTCAGAAAAATTGGCTTTAAATCCAAATAGGTCAGAAACATATGCAAGACCAGAAGAAACTAGATTCTATTCCAGGGAAGCAGATGACTTCAGAATGACCAGAAGTACCTAATCCAAATCAGGCAGGGTTTGAAATTCAAAGGAGCAGGGAGACTCAAAGGCTAGATTTATAGGCCAAAATTGACATAGGTTTACTGACTGAGTGTTCAGGCATCTACTCTATTGGTGCTGGATCTTAAACGGTTTTGCTGAAGTTCAAGGTTCAGTCTATCATGCTTCCTGTGCAGATAGATCATAGATGGCATGGTTGCTGACATCTGACTACTAGGAGCTATGAGAACTTAACAATATGATTAGTTCCTAGGATTGGGGGCAAATGGCAAAAGGTGAATTTATATTGTTTTTCCATGTTTAAATGACTCAGCAGAACAGTACTCCTGAATGAAAGGCAATTGTGAAAGAAATTAATCAATAATATGGCCAGAGTTGGTAACCATCCAAAGCTGTGCACTGAGGTCACATGTGCCTCCAACAAATGTTTGGCCTCCAAGAGCACCCAGAATCCTTTTCTTGATTCTTCCCAACATATAGTTTCTATCTTTCTGGAATTTAGCCTCAATTTACTGGCCCTCATCCAGTCCATCATAGCACACAAGCATTGATCCAACAATTCCACCACCACTCCTGAATCAGTGCCTCTGATTTTCAACCCATGAACATAGCCCGGTGGAATATTGTGGTCTACAATATTAAATGCCCCTGAGAGATTAAGAAGGGTAAACAGGGTGACATTTTCCTTTTCCCTGTCTCATAAAAAATCATCATCTGGGATGCCCAAGTTAATCACAGTGCTAAAATCAGCCTTAACTATTGAGAATATGATGGTTCCAGAAAGTCTGTTTCATCCAGGAATTACTGCAGTCATCCGGACATACTCTTTCCTCCAAAAAGGGAGGTTACCAATGGGATAGTTGATGGATAATAACTCAGGTCCAGGGAGGTCATCTTGGAGTATGTCCATCTCCTCAGCTTTATTGGCTGAAACTGATCCTGCAATAAATAATCACACAATGTGCTGATAACTATCCTAGATCAGCTTCAATTTTGACATATTGGCACAGGTTTAAGTGATTTTATGTATAATAAATTCATTACATCACTTATCCAAACTGGGATATGATCAACATTAATATCAACTGTATCTCTAACTACCCAAAAAAGCTCTACTTGGTAGTTCAGTGTGAATGCAATAGAGAAGGAAAAATGTTCATGCCACATGGTAGGCATGATAATGTGCTGTCATATGTGCTGAGTCTTGCACAATCTGTGCTGAAGCTGTGTGGCACGCATGTATACATAGCCATCATGCTTTTCCTCTTGAGGTAAACAGCAGTATGCAGAGCAGAGAAAAGAAGTAAGAAATAGTAAGCCAAAGAAATTAAAGACATGATATAAGAAAAAGAAACATAGCTTAAGTTGTGCCAATATCACTCACTAAAACTTTTCAAGCCTTTCTAGCTTTGCAAACCATCTTAGCTTCTATCCTGTCTGTGTACTATTTTGTACCTTGTCTTTGTTCCTTAAACTACCCATTTTTCTCTTTCTGAGAATCTCATGAATTCATTCAACATGACATCCTCTTCCTCTCAACTCACTCACTCTTCCTTTGTGTATTTGTTTTGCCATTTAATCCTCATTTATTCTCTCCATGTGACAAAACCACCCCAACATACTTCTTGTTTACTGGCAACTTTTTTATTCACTTGCATTTATTCAGCACCTGTATGTTCTTGACTCTGGATCTTCTTGTATTATTACACACAGTTCTTAAGTACCCATTCCCCTCCATTAAACTTTCTTTTACGCTTCTCCTTAATTATTCTGCTCACACTTCCATGCAACAAAGTGGATAGAAGCATGATTTTATATACAACCAGATTTCTTGTTTTGAAAAACGTTTGTTCCTTGCAACAGATTACATGCTACCCACCCGCACATCACTTTCATTCCAAATCTTTTCATCACTTTTATTTAATTCATTCACTGTGCTGAGGCTCCTCTTCACTCGCATCCAAAACAACTTTTTATTTCCATCAAAACTGTTCTGAATTTTCTCTGCATCTTTGAGTCATAACTACTCCTTGTTTTCTTTGACTATATTTTTGCAAGTAACTTTCCAGTGTTGCATCTAATATTTAATATGTTTAATCTAATGTTTAATATCATGTTTTGTTTAATCTAATCCAATCCAATGTAATGATAGTTAAGTAATCTAATGGTAATTAAGTACTCAAATGTTTAGTAATACTTAATTTAATATTTAATTTTGTTGTATCTAATGAAAATTTATTTTCTGATTGTCACTGGGGAATTCCAGATGACCAATGTTTGCATCACTTCATGCTTCTGATTCAACAATTAAAATACAACTGGGATTGTCCAGGCTATTCTGATTATTTCCACATCTATTAGCATACCAGGATTCTATAGGAACTGAGAGTTAATCATCATTTGCTCTTCAGAGACAACAGTGGAGGACAGAGAGCTACCAGCCAATCAGTACTTCTAGGCAGTAATGAATACCTCAGTGCATTCCCTCATTTTCATACCAAAACATATATCCCTTCCCTCTTCTTTAAAAAAAAAAATTAACAGAGATTAAAATTACTGTTGCAGTAGGGTTGCTAGGGTAGCATACCTCTTTCTTATGCTGGCTTGATGACAATCCGTACTTCATCCCTGTTCCTAGTGATGCCATCACTCTACTGCAATAGGATTCCATAGGATGGAAGCAATGTGAGCCAGATGTCACCTCAAATCCCACAAATCACCCATAAAACAACAAACTACCACCATTTGTGCAGGTTATTTTAGCTTGAAACAGAATTTCCCCATCAGAAGGAAAGCTAAAGACTGCAGTAAAGAAAACTGGAACTTAATGCAATGGTAAGCATATAGTCACAACATCATTTATTCTGGGTGGTAGGATGGTGTTCAGTTTTATTCAATAATGGAACTGGATTCTCATCTGGAAGAGCCCAGTATTATCCAAAGATATGAGGGGGGATATAGTAAGAACTCTTCTCTGCAATAGGTTTGTTTCATTCTTCTGTTTTGGGGATAGGCAACATAGTGCCTATCAAGATATTTATCTTATCTGACTTTAATTGTTTAGTTCTAGAATTAAAAACAATGAAATGTTGTATCAGCTTTAAGCATATCTTCATTTTGAGGACTGCTTCATCTACATTCTTAGAAAATAACAATGGTGGGTAGATACAGCCAGTCTTGGTTTGAAAATGTGCCTACCTGTCGAGAAATAAGAAATAAGGGGGAGAGGCGATAGGAACATACTTGGAGGCTAGAGGAGGCAGCAGGGTATAACATCACCAGTTTGCCTGCAGGTAAATGGTCAATTTCTGGCTGGCCACAGTTCCCATGGCATATATGTTGTGTGAACATCCACAAAATTCCACATACACCAACCACCCTAAAGAGGTTGCATATTTTTATACTGTTTCCTAAGATGACTTAGGAAAAAAACAAAAACATAGGAAATTATGGTAACTTGCCCAAAGTGTTAACAAACAGAAATGAAGAATGTAAAGTTTCATTTTGTTAGCACAGTACAGTGGTGTCTATCTGTCTATGCTTTCTTAGCTATTGTTTGTGATTACAGGGAATAAAATTACTCTATATTTCCCCATAATTAAGCATATAATCCACAACTTTGTTGGGTAAGTTTACTTTTTCATATACACAATGTATGTGATTTAATTACAGGTCATTCCTCTGCTTGTTTCCTTGTTTTTCAAAAGACCATTCAATGCATTGTCTAAACATTAGTTGTAAGAGAATAGCATTTCTTAAGAAATAATTTTAAAAAGCACCAAACAATAAACTCTGAAATTCTGGAACTGTTTAAAATTCAGACTGACTGCACTATGTAAGGCACTTTCAGCGTTTCCCTTGCTTATGCCATGCATGGGGAAGCAAGAAAACCTAGGCAAATATTTGTTCCTTATTTGATTAAAATTGCACACTGTTCCCACCATCTTTTCTAGGTCTCCAGATAGTCTCTTGAAGGTCTCCATAAAACAGAGTTCTGTGCAGCACAAATGCTGCTCTGCGGTGGCTTGTCCTCTGAGAAGGCAGGCCCAAGAATGTGATACAGCTTGTAAACACATTTGTACAGTCTCATCATATAGCACAGGACTTTGTTTCAAATCATTACATCCACTGACGCACTAAGTGTAGTCCTGAACAAAGTTGTCCCACCACCCGTACAAAGAAGAGGACAGAAAGAGAATCTGAAACTGACACAATAATTAGCCTGAAAGAACTTTGAGGCTGAACATGAGTGGAACAAAAAGAAAGGTAACAGTGACAACTAGCTTACCCTTTCAGCAACTCCTCTTGCTTTTTTTCAAAGCTGCTAACTGCTCATTTTATTTCTGAGAATCCCCTTAAGAGTCAAGCTATATAATAATGGCAAGATTTCCAGGGGCATCTATTGATGGAATATGTCTATGTTTTTTCACTACAAATAGTCCTCAGAAAGACTAATAATAATAATGAAACATAAAACAAATATAAATTATGATAAAAGAATAAACACAATCATTTAAAAACTCATAAAAATATGCTGAGAATAAAAATTGTGCCTGACCCCCAGTACCCACTAGAATAATGTCTGCTCTGGTGTAAATTCTCTGTGCCATCCTCCAACACCCTTGCACCATTTTATGCTGTTCCCCAAATGCTGCTTTACTATTTCTGTCTTTTGCAGAAAGCCACAGAAAAAGGAGATGGGTGGGTATACTGTATTGTAGAAAGGCTGAAAATTCAGCAATGAAACAGCAAAGCTCATGTTCCCCCAATGCTTGCTTTGCCAGCAAAATATTCCATGAACATCATGACCTTGATAAATGGGAAACTATTTGGTGCAAAGCTGGGCAATGTGGGGGAGCTTGCTTACAAGAAAGTGGCTTCTAAGGGTTACTGAAGAGGGTGGAGTTGAATCGTTACACCCTTGGTGAGGGGAATTTTAGGATCTTGGGGCGGATTTAAAGCCTATTTTGTTTTTATACACACAGAAGGAAAAAGAAGAAGTTTGTGTCACCAAAAATGGTAATTTGCTGTGAACTTTGGCCACAAGTTGAAGGCCACACTCCAGGGGCCACAAGAAAACTCTGTGCCACCTGTGGATTATGATTGCCTATCTCTTGCATTGTGGGAAACAGTCATGTCTGTTAAGGCATATGTGCTCTAAGAGTGGGCAACCAATAGCCCAAATGCTTCATATGTCCCCACTTCTTATGTCTCCCAAAGGTTCTCCAGAGAATTGAATGCCCTGGAATGAGGATGGGATCCAGAATTTTCAGAACTTGGGTAGCATTTCAGAACTGAAATGAGTGCCTTAAGCCAAGGTTTAAATCACATACATACTCCTTAAACTCTGCCCCAAACAGGCTGAAATATTTGGCCCTGCCATTGCCTCTGACATCATGACATCTGCAGCCATGCCTCCCGCACCCGTCAGAAGTGTGTGTGTGTGTGTGTGTGTGTGTGTGTGTCTAAAATATCCCATGGCTCCTGGAAGTTGACCATCCCTGTTTAAGTCTTTGACAAATGTGGCAGGAGTGAGAGAAAGCAGCTGTGGAAACAATCAATCTTCTGGAACCCAGTAGCTCTGGGTTTTGGGAGAAGAGAACAATTATAAGGAATACAGTATGTGTAAATGTCCAGTACTCCAGGAACATATGTTTATGTTGAGAACTTCAAGTCAAGCAGTTCCATGTTTTCCCTTTGCATATAGATAGAATTAGTGGAATTATTTTGTAATGACACATTTACATCTGCAATGAATTTACTGATTTGCTATTCAACATTATTTTTTATTCTTTCCAGACAAATGCTGAAAGTTTCAGGACACTTGACCTCTCATGATAGAACCATAAAACGTATTTGATTACTTAAGCTTTCCCAGAGAAATGCCTGGGTTTAACTTCCAAGGTCATGTTATGATTGAGTCATAAAACTGCCCTAGATGCAGGAACAAGGCTTGTCTTAAACCAGATGCAGGTACAATGATATTTTACTGGTTCTTAATACATTGAGGACAGAAAGCTGCTCGTAGGCAACGCAAATAGTTGCTTTGCTCATGTTTTCTCAACAAACAATGTATGGGCTAAATCAGAGTTGACTGAAAAATCCATAATGCATGTACTGACCACTGCATCACTGTGATGCATTTTTTGTACAACATTTTGTATAAATCACTATGGTACAGGGGTCAGTTTGTGCCTTCGGAGGCTTCTTGTGCACATCTTGACTCAATCCAGAAATTACTTGGTAAACAATTCAGTTTTCAGTCTCTGGAAAGGATAATAATACTCATTTAAATTTACAAGGATTTATGGTGAGATGTATCATTATGGAAAATTTCCAGAAAAGAAGTAGCTAGATAGACTTGGAATATGCACCCTAACACAGGGCTTCCAAAGGTAGAAATACAGTGTTTCAAATGAGATTAGTACCAGAGGACTCAAACACTGTTTCAAATTAAGCAGAGGCCTTCATGATAGACTTCAGCCACGACATTAGCAAACTACTTTTCATAATGCACAATGGGTACCTTAAATGAAGGTATAGAATATCAGCTGACCCTTGAAGAATGTTCAGAAGTTTAATTTCTTTCAAGATTCCTTGATCTTCCAGGTTTATTTTTATTCAAATTCATACACGCTATAGCTTCATGTAGATCAACAGATGGTTAGACAAAGGCTTCAGATCAACTATTGCAGATCAACCGTTGACATTTCATGTATGATTTAGGGGCAACCTTAAGCTGCTCCAGTCCTGTGATGATGCCAGATGGACTTTAAGTCACTTTAAGAACATTCTGTCCAGATGGGGATGCTTTGGCAGTGGCTGGCCAGGTGTTCAGTTGGGACTGCCAGCGATCATCACCCCCATTGGGCAATTCACCTGCTGCTGTGATTTCCTAACTTTCCCTGCCAGGAAAGTGATTGACAATCTCTTTCCTTTGTGTGGGCGAGTCTTACTAAACACACTTATTTTTCAAAAAAACCCTTATGCTGCTTCCAAATTAAAAGCATCAAAATGGAATCAGCTTTCTTGCACTTTCCCAGGTATGGCTCTCTAATCTGTGCTACAGCTATTGTCATAGGAGTGTCATAGCAATGCAGTGCTTATAATGTTTGCCTAATATGCAGAAGGCTGCTGGTTTGAAGTCTGGCAGAAACATGTTTGTAATCACTATTTTTCTTTCCTGGGCTACCTACATAATTGCTTGTCTTCATTTACACAGTTCACTGATGCACCATTTCAGCATTTTTGCTATCACTTGAGGAAGAAAGGTTTCACCCCAGCTCTTGAATGGCCCAACAAATAAGTACTGCAAAGAACGTATCACTGCATTTACCTGGAGCTGGCTTAAAAAAACAGAAAACAAAGGAAACTCCAGTGTTTCAACAGTGGACTGAGTAAATAGTTCAGTTTGTCTAAGTAATTTGAATGGGCTTTGTTCAATTAGTTTAAGGATACATTTGTCAATGTTCACCTTAGCTGCACAGATAAAATTTGGATCATAGATTCTACTTAGAGCAGCTACATTAACAATCAAGTTGCAGAATTTGTGATGTATTTTTTTGCAGGTTATTAATGTAGGGTTCAGAAAGCACTGACTAATTGGTACAGTTGGCTCAAGGTTTTAAATCTATGCATAATTATTTCAGAAGACCCTCCCCCCAATTCAACTGAATTTATTTCTGAGTAGATATATCTGCCTACAAAAGAAGCATAACATCAAAAGTAATTTAGTGTAAAATACATACTTTCATTTACTTGGAATAACTAGTATGATCTTGAGATGGATAATGAAATGAAGGAGTTCAAAGGAGAATTTTGTAGTAATGGGTGTAGTAATTTCAATCACCTTTATATAAGATAGATAAAGGTACATTATGGTGCAGAAAGAGAGATAACATTTTTGGGTTCCACAAGTAATTATACCATGAAACCAACCAAAGAAGAGAAGACCTTGACTTATTATATGTGATGAAATGTGAACTTAGTTGAACAGTTTAGAAACAGTGAGCTTTGCTCTAGTAAATGTAATTTATGTGTATGTGGTAAATTACCAAGTCAACTATTATTAATAGTTTTATAGCTAGATTTTATATCTGTAAAATTGCAGAATAATTTCTTGTATTTTTGTCCTCAGTCCTTGGAGAATCTGTGTATTACTGAGCACCATCTTGCATACTAAAACCTACACTTATCTTCCCTATAAGAGAGGAAAGTAAACAACGTGTAAAATGCATCTGTTGAAGCTGCCTTTCCGGTTCAGGGTCTTCTTTTCCTAGTGTAAGCACAGGGTGATCTGATCTGCATCCTGATCCTTCCTAAACAATCTGTTTATAAAAAGTCCACCATCACTAACGATCCTGTATTGATGCAACTATTAAAAAAAAACCTAATTGGCTTTAATGGACAATGTTTTAAACCCTGTACCAATAGAATTGGGATTTTTATAAACAAAGAGATCTATGATGGAAAATCTTTTGGTGGAGCCATGAGGCAAAGTGAATCAGAGTATGACTTGCACATTGGCAAAGCCAGGATTTTAAATTTTTCTAGGCCTGGGGAAAATAGCTAGCTAGATAGCTAGCTAGCTAGACAGATAACATTATTAAGCCTAACTTAACATTTATATTATAATTTTCATCATATCAATGACAAAATATTGAAAAATAATGTTACTGATCTCAGCAATTGTGGGCCCTCAGATTGTCCATCTCTGCCAATTCTTCCCTCCTTTTCTGTTATTTGCCATTTTGTCTGCTGAAGACTTAACAACTTTGACAACTGTTTTCCATTGTTAGTTTCTGATCTTGAATTGACATAATAAAGATATTGCCTTAATATGGATTAGACACTCAGTACAGTTTTGTGAACTCACCAACATGAGTATGGACATCTCTGGCTGTACCGGCAACAATAAAACTGCCACTCTCGATCAAGCACAGATGGAAAATATTGGCTCTGGAATCCTGCCACTAACCCATTATTTGAACATGTTTGATACCTGGGGGAAAAAACACATTTAAAAAAATATAAACATTAGGAAAATAAAATCATGATTACTAGCCCTTCTTTGGGGATTATTAGAAACTGGTGGCAACTCACCAGTGTGCTGATGGGAATTACTAATGACCAGATTCTCATCACCAGTTTTTTCTCTTAGATGGAAATGTGCTGTTGAAGCTGTCTATCCATCTAATAGGTTTCTTTCTATTTAAATTATAGCATTTTTTTTAATTCACATCTGAGCTATAAATTAGTATGTGTACTTCTTTTTGTTTTGAGTAAATGGAAGTGGTCACCCTAAAGCCAGTGGAAAGGAATACAGTGTTCTCTTCCTGCCCACCTCCTCCATTTCAGTCTTAATAAGTCTGCTTAGTCAAACTTCTAACCATGTGAAATATCTCCCCATATTGCCATTCTTGTTTCCTGAAAAGCTATAACCTCTTTTTTTTTCAGGAAATAGAGGCCAAACCATGTTCTTCTTCCATTTTTTAATAGTACAATGCATGGAAATCTTGGCTTCGTCCTCTGTACTGTTTGCTTTGGAAGAAGAAAAATAGATCTGCAGATACGTAGCATTATTCTCTAGGCACTTAGAGCCCCTATTTTCATTCTCCAAACCCTTGGAATCATTTTGAAAATGGCTTGTGGTTATCCTCACCACATCTATCTTTCAGATGTAGAGAACTCAGCAGGAATTAATCAGCATTCCCCACCATTGAGCAATAAGGAGTGCAGAAATCAACATTTCCCACCCTGGTTTATTGTTCTTATGCTGTACTTTTTTTCCTCCTTATCAGTTAAAAATACCCAGGACTGCTTTCAGGATAAGCAGCAAAGCCACCCTCAAATCCACAATGATTTAAGAAAATCATTGTGAAGCTACTATGGTGCTGTGGCAGCTAATTTTGCAATGTGGGGGAGGAGGAGAAGCAAAGGAACCAGAAGCCAAGGTGAGATGGAAGTTCCCACCAAGAAGGAAATGTCCAACCTGAAAATCCAATGCTTCTGATTAAAAACTGTATTATTATTATTATTATTATTATTATTATTATTATTATTATTACTATTAATCAGCTCAGCCTCCCAACAGAGACAACAGTATAAAAATGCAAGGGCAAGTCATCATCAATTCAACAGTGCCACCAATGCTCTGTAAGGAAATTCCCTTGGTTTTTTCTCTTTACTTTGCAATTTAAATTGTACATCAGGACGAGCATTTCATAGCCCCAGTGTTTCAAACCTAAATAGGGGCACATGTAACACTGCATATTGAAGATATCTGCACATCTCTCCCTCTCCTGACTATGGCCTATCTATTCCTGTTTCTGTATGCTGAATCAGCTTTCTTTGTTCACCCTTTAAAAAAAACTCAGGAGTTTGTGCTTCTGAGCAAATGCTAGTTCAGATTTCCCCAACCTGCTTTTCAGATATATTGGACCATCCTTTTTGGTTGCCCGTGATGGTTCAAGAATTATAAAGTTTAAAGTCTGGAAAAGACCAGGCTGCCCTAATTTGTGACCATTGACTAAATCATAGTTTACTGATTCAGATGCAATGGGAAATTATGTAGTTTAAGGAGACATTTATAAAGGAAGTGCCAATGTCCAAGTGTATAAGAAGAAATGACTGACAAAGACAGAAGATACAAACAAGACTCATTCTAATAACAAAAGTAGATTGTTATAGGTTTAGTATTTTCAGTTGGAGAACTCCAAAGTGAAGAACATGTCATGAGGCCACAAGGAGAATAAAAAACATCAAGGACCAGCATCATTTTGGTGCAAGGGCGAAACATCTCTAGGGAGGCATTGTTCTTCTTCCTCTGTGATACTTTCCTTCCCTTACCCTATCAGGTGCAGATACATTAGTAGTTAAAAATACACACACAAAAAAACACTAGCCTAATAAATCCTACTGATAGTCTTCACCATTTTAATATCCCTGGAATATCTATGGGACTCCTGCATGGTGGCACTTGAGAACAATAATCAGTTGTGGTTTCAGAGGCCTTATGAGGAAATGAAATGAAGGTCTGCAGTCACAATTGCCCAAACTCCAACATTCAGTGGTCCTTGGGTTTTGTACAGCCCAGAGAGGACTGGTATTTCTAGCTGGCTGTAGTTGGCTGTTGGGAACCATAGTGTAGTCATTCCAGAGGCTGACTAGCAATAATGCAAGGGTGCTCACCTCTAATCTTCAGCCACAAGAAATTACCATTGTTTTGTGCAATTGCTTTTCCAAATTACAAGCCTCCATCTGGACTCTAGGGTACTTTGCTCATACCTCCCCACCCACTCATCATGTTCTCTGTTGGTGTGTTCTTATGACAGTCTAGTATGTATATGAAGGGAGACATCAGTAGGGGTGTGCAGCATTTCAGAAATAATTCAGAAAAAGTGTTTTGGCATTTATGGGAGTGTGAACTTCATCTCTATATGCAACTCTTTAAAGCTTCTGCCTCTTTTCTAAGGCTAGCACAGCTGCCCTCTACAGTTGCCATATGTTCCTGGGAAAAGATATGAGTGCTGAACAGAGTTACTGATAGGGGCTACATTTGCACACCCATGGCTTCCAAAGCACTTTTTTGGAACTGAATTCAAAGCATTGCAGAGCCCTAGTTATTAGTACTGAAGCTACCACCAGCAAGAGTACAGACTTTATCCAGAAATGCTGCTATAGATTAAAAGTAAGTGTTTTTGCCAGGCTGGCACAGAAAACAAATCTACCAGTCATTAAAAGGGAATTACAATTGTAGCTATTTTAATTCAAGGATACTGGAACTGTTACACAGAAGCAGAGATCCTGTACTCTGTCCTTTAAAACAGAGTGGATAAACAAGCATTGTTTATTCATTTGTTATTATCAAAGCCCATGTTATTCTTTGAAGTAGATTAGTTTATTTGCTTTTCCTTTCCCAGAACTGATATGCTTATTTTTGATATGTCAGAAATAAAATAAAACTTCATTTATGATATGAAGTTTTATTTTATGTAACATTTCCATAAAATAAAACTTCAAATTAGTGACTTGATTTATTACTTACCAAGGAAGCTATTATCTTCAAAGTGATATAAAGATAGAAGTTGGAGAGAAATGCTGTATGGCTAGGTTAAAACTTCTAATCCATCCTTCTGTTTCAGTTTGTTGATTGACTGACTGACTGACTGATTGATTGATTTAGGACACAAACCAGAGATATCCCTAAAAACATTACCTCTTATGCTTTCATTTGCATTAACCAGTCCTTCTTTATGTTTGCTTTTCATCTTACCAGCAGCAAAAGTAAGAAATGGCTTAGACAAATGGTTGCATTTGAACATAACTTTTGGACTACACTCTGGATCAAATTGCCTCATTTAATAATTTTATGAAGGGTGCTACCATATCTTAAAGCAGAGGCTGGCAACACAGCACCTACCAAATGCCAGGGCATCCACAGGATCCCCCAAATTACATAGTTTCTAAAACTGGTGGATTTTCACAAGAGCATAAAATCTCATGAGATTATCTCCAGTAATGGGAAAGGGACTGTATAACATAGACTTTCTGTTTTGAAGGCTCCAGATCCAGGCCTTGAAATCTCCAGGAAGGCAGAAAGAATCCTGGCCTGAAATCCTGGACAGCTGTTGCCCTTCAAGGCTGATAATGTTGGAATTGATGGCTCAAAGATCTGACTCAGAGTAAGGCAGCTTCTGAGGGTTCTATGATTTTTTAAAAAAAATTAAAGGGGACACAATAGAAATGTTTGTGTTCTACTAGCATCTCTAATTAAGCAGCTTTGCAGGGCAAAAAATAAACTTCTCTCTGTGACTCAGCTATAGGGAAAGGATGATATAATGGAGACAGAACAGGCCTCTGAAATCAATCAATCTATCAATCCTTTATGAACCATTGGAAGTCCTAGGTACTTTCTTAGCCTACAGTACAAGGTTTTGTATCCCTTGCTGAGGCCTTGGAATTTAGTATGATGAGTTTATTAACCTTTATGCTTCCTAGGCTAAGCATCACTGATATCTTATATCTGTGCAGATGTGGAGAAATTTACCTCTTTGTTTCCTAACTGTAATGATACGTGTTACATATGTATGGCATGCATTTAATTGTTTTTCCTTTTTCCTTTTAAATACACTCATCCAGGTCTTCCTTCATCAAAGAAACTGTCAATCCCATCTCTTAGAAGCCTTGGCACCAAATCAATGTCAGTCTTTATAAGCAAAGCCCGAAGACATATGCATGCATAAATACTATTTTTAATAGTAATTTTATTAAGAATTATAATTACAACAATAAAAAGTAATACAAACTGGAAAAACTAGAGGAATAAAAAGATTTTTTTTCTTTTCTCTTTCTTCCTTTTTTTTCCTCTTTGTTTTCTGCACCTTCTCCAAACATAAATACTATTGTTAATAGATGTGAAAATATTTTGTATTTAGATAATATTTACATTTAACCTGAAGTGCTGAGAGCTTCTTGGGTGAGATTGTTTCTTATTATGGCATTTTACATTTCAATGTTATGGTATCCAGGAATGTAGAAATTTATGACTAAACTGGATTCTAACTTCCTCATATAAGTACTGTATGGCAAGTAAGTAATGAGGGACTTAATTTTGGACTTCTGAGGTGGGTGGGGAAGGTGGACTAAGAGGAGTGGTGTTATCTGCCAATGCATACCAGACAGGACTTCCTTGGTCTGATAAGTGATTGGAGTGATAACAAGATTTTCAGGTTTTACTATGATATCTGACAGATTGTTATAGAGGAAGTCAAAGAATGAGGCAAATAATGGAGTGCCACAGAGGTGCAAAACCTCCATCAGCAAGAGGTCCACACCGGGCTTTGTACTCTCAAAGTGGGTCCAGTTAGAAGCCCAAATGTTGAGGTTTCTAAGGATTCTTAAGGAGTAAAATAGTTTAATGGGCTTTAAATTGTGTTCCCCCCCCCGCCACAAAAATAAAACAGGTAAAAATATTCTGCTGTAGAAGCACCGTAAGCTGTCCTTTTTGCATATTCCCACAGTAAAGGCTAGATGCTTCTCTCTTTTTCTTTGTTGGAGTTCCTATTCCATACTAACACTCTGTGCAAGATAGCACTTAAAGTAGAAAGCTCTGTCTTGCATTTCAGCTGCCTGTGGAGCCTGAGAGGAGTACTGTATCCCACATCAGAGCTTGTGGGCGGTATCCTATATTGCACGGGTAAGAATCTAGGATGAACATTCTCCTTTCCTTTGCAGCCCTCAAATCTACTCCAGAGGAAGGAGAACCTTTTAATCAAATTGGAAGGCTGAAGTGGAATCCCTTCCTAATTAGGTAGATTAAAATCTGATCTGCAGTTGAAACACTGAAACATGGAACTCAGTACACTAGATTTTGCATGCCTCGGACTGCAGTCATGTGAGATTTATTAGTGATAATTTGATGTTTATGTCTGTGGTTTATTTATTCGTTGAACAAATATATATGGCTGCCCATCTAGCCAGTGGAACTCTGGATGGCAAAGATAAAGACATAATACATAATCCAGATCAATTAAAAACCAGGGCAAGTCCCCTGTAAAACATTTCATGTCACACACCCCCACAAATGCTCTAGCTCCATTAACAGCCTGGCCCCATGCCTGGGGAAAAAGCCAGGTCTTCACGATCTTCCAGAAGGCCCATAAAAGCCTCCTGTCAGAATTTTTAACCAGTATTTTAGCTCTGAATACAAATAATAGAATTTTATTTGTTTATTTAAAAGACTTACAGTATATGGCACCCATCGTATGTACCATAATTCTGAGCAGCTCACAAAACTTCAAAGAACAATAAAACCACTAACCGAAACTCCTGGTGCCCCAAAAACAAACACTCCTTCATACATCTAATGCAATAAGTAGGGTGGATGGTCAAAGGCCACCCATCCTGATGAGTAATTGTACTTTAAAATGCATTACACCGCTGATGATAATGAACATTCTAGAAACAACCACAGAAATAATTTATGCCACATGTTTCTGACTATGTTGCCACAACGGTCTTTCTAATGTACCAAATTAAAGATTTGGTAAGATAGTCAAATATCAGTCAAGCAAATACTCCTGAAAGTTCTTCCCTTCCAATATACATCTGCATGTTTCCAATTATGCTAGAGTTGAGGGAAAGATATCATATTTATATAAACAGCCTTCCCACACAGAGGCATGTGCGCCATGTTCCTCCAGCCAGGAGAACATGGTGCACTAAATGTTGGCTGGAATTTCTCAAAGCCAAGACATCTAGAGGGTGCCAGGCTGGAGAAGGCTACTGTACAGCTTCCTATCAGAATTACTGAACATGGTACTTGAATAGGTATGACCTTGAATAGGTATTGTCTTCTAAAAGACTGTCAGGAGAATGAACTAAGGGGCAAATTTGAAAACATACCAAGTGACAAAATAGAGCCTGGAATATGTCAGATGGATATAATTGAACACTCAGAGTCATTGG